TTTTACATGTTTATTGACTCAAACCTAAACCAGACAATCCACATTTCTGGCAGGGAAATGAACCTCCTTCTCAGCCTCCAACAACAGGCCTCACATGGTGCTAATTAGCCATTGCTGGAAGCTTCAAGGTGCTTGTTCTATCCATGCCAGCTGTTTAACAAACCCCACCAACAATAGTAATGGGGAGCAGATTCCTCCATCTGAGCCAGGACCCACTGTAAAAAAAGTATAGTGTGTACCCTTGTCTGTTAGTAGAAAAGAGCAAGAGTCCAGTAGCACCTTAAAGACTAACAAAATTTGTGGCAGGGCATGATTTTTTGAGAGTGGCTGCTCTCTTCTTCAGATACAGCACCCTTGTCTGGTGTAAGCATTGGGAACAATACAATGCATTTTCTTTTTATACCCCCCCTTTCGTTTTTCTTTTTTTTGCCACATTCCAATGTTAACATTTTGTCATGCATTTTGAAAAAACATTGTACTAGAAGTGGCAAGGAAATGGCCTCAGATGACAATGCAGTAAATGAGTGGATTCACATATGCTATGTAGACAATTTCCCTCCCTGAATATCCACCACTAGCACACTAGTGAACATTCAGGGTATGTAGAATGTTCAACAGCTGAAGTGCCATTGACTCCATGGCCCCAAAGAAAGGCTTCAGTTAATACACTGGCGTTGAGAAGAGGCAGATGAATGGCATATTCAATAGCTTCAAATCAAAGGGAAAAAAGAAAAAAAATCCACTGGATTATAGAAGGAAGAGGAGGAGGAAGAGGAGAAGAGTTGGTTTTATATCCTGCTCTTTACTAACGGAAGGAGCCTTGGAGTGGCTTAGAATCACCTTCCCTTCCTCTCCTCACAACAGGCACCTTGTGAGGTAGGTAGGCTTACCAAGTGGCGGCGGGGGATCCACATGTCTTCACAGGATCCCTGCTGCGGGGACGGCAACACGCGTTGCACCTGCCATCGCCAGGATGTGACGCTACGCGTCGCTCTGGCAACGGGTCCAAACAGCCCCGTTGCCAGAGCGACGCATTGCGTCACATCCTGGCGACGGCGGTGCAACGCGTATCGCCATCCCCGCGGCAGGGGTCCTGTGAAGACATGCGGATTCCGCGCCACCATTTGGTAAGCCTAGAGGTAGGTGAGGCTGAGAGAGTTCTGAGAGAACTGTGACTGCCCCAAGGTCACCTAGCTGGCTTCATGTGGAGGAGTGGAGAATCAAAGCTGGTCTGCCGCTCTTAACCACTCCACCAGCTGTCAAACCAAACCAAGTGTGAAGGCGAAAGAAGCTACAACACAGGTCTCTGCCCCGCCCCATTTCTCTCAGAAAAACAGTCCGGGAAGAGTTAACCCTCCTCCCTGCCCAGCTCTGTCGCCCAAATCCAGATATTCCCAGGCTCGGGGGCAGAGTGGCCATTTAAATCGCAGGGAAAGATCCTGGAGGGCTCCTGGCATTGCCAGGAGCAAGCCAAGCCAAGCCCCAGTTATCTCTGCCAATGCAGAAGGGGTCTCTCGGTTCAGAGCTGGCTAGTGACACCAACAATGGGTGTCAGCTCAGCTACCATCTCCTTCTGCACCACTACCAACGGGGGCCATTTAGCCTGGCTTGCTCATGAACCATTTTAACTTCTCAGTCCACCCAAGCCCAGGCTGCTTATTGAGGTTAGAATTAAATAGCTGGGCTGTTTTCACACTAACATTTCCCATATTTCAGCTCCCCAACTGGTGCTTTTCATATTTCTTCATGACATTGTCCTTTATTTGTATACAGACCATTAACAGACTTCCACAAAAAACTGCTTTATTTAAAATTTCTAAAAATACCCTCACTCCATGTTTCCTGGGCAGGTAGCTATCAGCACAAGCAGTTTCTCTCGTCTGAAGGGGAAATAGCATGACTGAAGTACTCATCAGTTACTCTGTTCATTTGTTATCAACTGGAAGGAATCAGTCCCCAGCAGAAATTAACATAATAGAAGAGAATCACCTGCCTTTTAGACAGAAAGGAGGGGATCCTTGATGTCTCTGCAAATATGAGGTTTTTAAAAAGTTGTTAAAGGTATTGCATTATGCCCATCCAGCATTACTTATACTCATGGATTTCTTTCTTTCTTTCTTTCTTTAAAAAAGAACAGAATCACCCATAGCTCAGCCTGCCTTTGGGGGGGGGGGTCTGAAGGAAGTGTCTGCAAATACATGGAGGTTTTTTAAAAGTTATTGTATTATTTCTATGCAGCATTATCCATGATCCTAAAAAAAAAAATTAAACCAGAGTAGGTGGAGAATCCCGATGGTCATGTGAGAACACAGTAGATGTGTTCAGTCCACATCAGGTGTGAAATGCAAACCACAACTAAAATGGCGAGGAAACAGATTACCCTTGGCTGCCTGGAATCTCCACTGCAAGGGCAATTTCACACAGAATTGCATCAGCGACCAGATTACCACAGCAAATCACCCTGCTGTGGAAGTAGCCCAGGAGAGCTGATTACAGATTACCTACCATGAGGAGCATTTTTATTTGTTTAGCATATTTATATTACACTTTTTTCCCTGGGGTTAAGAAAACAAACAAGGAAGGGAGGGGACACTTCTGATGGCCAAGCTGGTCTTCTCTCTCTGCTGGCTGATCTCCTGTGCAACTCTAGGCCTGGCCTTCAGGCTGAGAGCCATGGGATATTTCAGTTCCAGTATCATTCAGTTCCAGTATCATTTGCTCTGTGACCAAGATGAGAAAAGGTTTATAACTTCTCATAGGGAAACCAAGGCATGGCCCAGTTTGGTTTAGTAGGAGGCAATCCTGTTAATGATCAAGGGCCTTGAAAGCTCAGGGATGTTGCACTGTTGAAGATACCACTTTGCATAAGATTCACAGTTGCCATTACTAGCCTTTTTGCCAAGCATCATTTTATTAACTGTACAGCACAGCCTATTTTCAATTATGCTAATTAAGTATAGTTTTAAGATTGCCTTTATACCCCCTTCTAATTGTTTTTCTTTCTCTTTAAATAAAACAATCAGTAGTAGTTGCTATAGCAGTGAACAGGGTGAGGCCCTAGTGTTTTCAGGCAAGGGTATGCTATGCCCCAAGGAAATAGACAGGGGTGGAGACAAAGGTGATTAATTCCAGGATTCTGCATGCAAGCAAGCTACTCTTTCCATGTGCCTATTGTTTCTCCATGACCTTCCTGAAATCAGATCCAGCAGAACAAACCATACAAAACATGTAAATTGGCAAAGAAACGAGATGATGGTTTCATTTGTGGGTTTCAGTGCTTTTAAGAAATTCAGCAGCTGAAAAGTCTCTTAGTTCTTATTTTTGTGGGAAAGAGCTTCCAATAAGGCAAAGATTTAGAAACAAAAATGGAAGAGTTGCAGAATTGGAATCAGCCCTTAATTCATCAGCACCATTAATGACGTGGAGACACACTGCTGGATGCATTGAAGTGAGTAGTCTCTTTCCACCATCCCTCACAGTACGTGAGAAGAGGGGAGATGACTGTGGTTCATTGGTAGAGCATTTGCTCCCCATGCAGAAGGCCTCATGTTTCATCTCTGCCACCTCGTCTAAAGGATTTACTTATTCATGTACTTCATTTATACCCTGTCTTTCTCCCCACTGGGGACCCAAGGCAGCTTACATCATTCTCCTCACCTCCATTTTATTCTCACAGCAACCCTGTGAGAGAGGATAGGCTGAGAGTGTGTGACTGGCCCAAAGTCACCCAGCAAGCTTCCATGGCACAAATGGGAATTCAGATCCGGGTCTCCCAGTTACTAGTCCAACACTCTTAACCACTACACCATACTGGCTCATTGTGCACAATGGCTCATTGTAGCAGTAGAACAATGTTCAGGTGGTAGGTGAGAGGAGAGCTGCTGCTGGTCACAGTAGACAATACTGATCTTAATGGACCAATTGGGGACGGGCCATGGCTCTGTGGTAGAGCAGCTGCTTGGCATGCACAGGGTCCCAGGTTCAATCCCTGGCATTTCCAATTAAAAGGATCAGGCAACACAAGATGTGAAATACCTGAGGCCCTGAAGATCCGCCTCCAGTCTGATTAGACAATATTGACCTTGATGGACCAGTGGTCTGATTCAGTAGAAGACAGGTTCATATGTATTCATGTGTAATGGTCTGACTTGTTATAAAGTAGTTTCACGTGTACAGATGTCAGCATCCACAATTAGGAGGGTGGGGAAAAGATTTTTTAGAGGCTTCATATAATCCTGGAAAGGTATCTAGAGAGACCCATCTCAGATATGCCTGTCCAAAGACAAAAGAAAAAAGAAAGGCAGCTACTCAAAGACCCTGCTTGGATCAATTCTGTCTTTAGATGTTAGTTCAGCCTAAAAAAAATTTGTCACTGTGTATGATGTATGCAATTGTCGGTTGGATTATCCTCCACATTTTAAAAGGGACAGACAGCTAAAAATACAGCATGTATATAGCTCAGTAAGATATGTGGCATACACATTTTGTATTTGGATATCATATTCATGTACAAAAATATTTCATTTGAAGGCTGACGAAGAAGAAGAGTTGGATTTTATACCCCAATCTTCTCTGCCCTGAGGAGTCTCAAAGTGGCTTACAATCGCCTTCCCTTCCTCTCCACACAGCAGTCACCTTGTGAGGTAGGTGGGGCTGAGAGAGTTCTGAGAGACCAAGGTCACCCAGAAAACTTTGTGTGGAGGAGGGGTGGGGAATCAAACCCAGTTCTCCAGATTAGAGCCTGCTGCTCTTAACCACCACACCACGCTGGCTCCCATGCTGATGAGAAGAGTCTCCTTACCAGTGTATGGCTGCTTCCCCTCCAACACCAGTATCCCACACTGAGCCATTCTCTGATCAGAAGTGAAAAATGTTTTTTATTTACAGTAACAGACAGACAGACAGACAAAATATAAACCCATCCCACACTAAAAGGAATATGGAAGTCAGTAAGCACTCCACCCCACCCCACCCCACCCCACCCTACCCTGTAGGCCCAGGGTGTGCTACCAATTTGATGGCTCACTCAGGGGACTGTTATGTCACTAATGTGACTAATATTCCTTTTACATTATACCAACCAGGCTGTGACTTTGTGTTAGGTCTAGGGTTTGTTTACTGTGGGAAAAGGAACAGAAACATAGCCTCTCTTTTGCAGCTATATATTGTCCCCAGTTTATAAAGAAGCCTTTCTAAAGTATCTTTGTCAGACACCAGAAGTGGCAAAAAAGGTCTGGAATGATAGCGAGCCATAGGTGGTAGCAAGCCATGAGTTCCGGTCACATAGGACTACTAAGTCTCAACACCCATGGGAGGGGAACGGGGGTTAGAAGGCAGGATAGGATATGGCTTCTATCAAAGAGCTCACAGAACAAGTCAGCGTTTAGTTGCTGACAAATGAAGAGAAACTGTTCAGAAGCCCATTTCTCACTGCATTAGGGACGACGCTGAGGCTCTGGCTTCCCTTCATCATTGCCACTGGCAGAATCCAGCCATAGCTACAGCGTCAAGAATAGGCCAAAAGCAGCTGCATGAAAATAATTTTTTTCCCCTTGGTACACTAGGCAGCCTGCCATTTCCCTGGGCGCCTGAGATGTTCAGTAGCCAGCCTGGAAACAGCAAGACTGCCAACTACTTGGCACCAGTACACCAGAGGCACTTTTGCCAAACAATAAGCACCAGCACTAGCAAAAGAATCCCAACAGGCAGATAGCAGCAGGGCCCACAGGCCAGCAGCGGCTGGCACAGATTACCGGTACACCGACCAGACACACCTAGTGAAGAGTGCCTGAGATCTCTGGCCCTGTGTGGCTGCCTGAGGTCCCTGCCAAACACCAAGGCTGGCAGCTGTGCACCTCTTCTGCTCCTGCTCTTGGCTCAGGCAGCAGGAACACTGCTCTTCCCCAGCTTCCATCAGGAGGAGTCTGGAAGAAGGGCTGGGGGGGGAGAGAGAGAGAGAGAGAGCACATCCTCCCCTCCCTTCCCTTAGTCCTTCAAGAATCCTTCAGGGTTTTTGTGATAGGTCGGGAAGAGAGCTGCCAGTTTTCCCAAGCAATTTTGAGCACATAGTACTGGTTCCAACAGACCCAAGAGGTGTCACCTGCTGCAGACTCATTTCCTTTTTCAAACCTCAGTGTCTTTGATTCTTGATTATTTGGTAGCGGAGGACAATGGAGACCTCATTGCCAAGGTGTTCACCTAGGGCCTCCCCTCAGAGAGCCTTCCAGGGAATGAGATCTGGGTCCAGGTTTCAGGAAGAGAAGCACAGACCGCAGCACTCCATGCAGATCTCCAGGCAGTCAGCTGACTCACAGCAGGCATCAATGATGCCACAGTCCATGTCACAGGGCAGGTCACAGTCAGCGCATTCCCCAGAGCCACAGCAGCAGCAGCAGATGCAAGAATCTTCGGAGCTGCACGAGCCGCAAGTGGCACAGTCCAGCATGATGTTGCAGAGGGTCAGGAACTCACAGAAGAGGCAGGAGAGGATGCAGTGGACACAGCAATCTGGAAGCAGAAAGAAAAGAGTATCAGAGAGCAAGCAACAGGTAGGTGAGGTTGGCTGCTGGAACAGGAAAGGAAGTTAAGTGACTGGGCCCCAATGGGAGGGCCAGAAGAAATTGTGGCTAGTGAGAGCATAGAAAGAATCTGCCATGGTATTTCTGGAGTTAAAGGTATTGCTGAAAAATTCTACTGACACCAAGAGTAGCATTAATATTTCACAAGAGCCAATTATCTTCCCCCTCCCAAGGTTTTTGGGACCAGTTTGGCAACAGTACTCAAAGCCACTGCAGATGTTGAACAGCTTCTGAATAGCACCACTGCTGATCATAATAGGAAGTGAAAGCATATTAAGGAAGTGAATGAGTGTGGTTTTACTGGAATATTACAGCTGGGAGAAAAACATTTAATAATCTACCTGGTAGTTACGAGTAGGAAATCTTATTCATTGGGGGGGGGGTGACAAGGCCATAGTCCTAAACCCATAGCCTTCCTTTTGAACATACTTACAACTAAACATTGTACCCCCACACCAGAGCCCATCATAGATTTATTTTTCTTAAAAAGGAAGACAGACAGCAAAACAGTTGAGGACCAATTTCTCTTTGAGGCAAGAGAGGCCAGAACTACTGCAACTGCCAAAAGGATGGTGGATGACTGTTAGGCCATATTCATTTATTCATTCATTCAAACATTCAAACATTTATACCCCACCTTGTCTTGTGGTTCAATGAGGCTTACAACAATACTTACAAACAATTCCAATTAAAAGTAGAATACTGGCCTGCTTAGAATCTTGGACTAATTATTTTTCAAAACAAGGTCTTAAATTTCCCATAAATATTACATCCAGTGATCATTTGCCTGCACATCTTCATACTCTTCTTCTCTGCTCTTTCTCAGTTGTGCCTTGCCTTTTGGCTTGCTCTTTGGGGGCATGGGCAGCTTTCTAATACTCACAGGTATATCATACAAGCACTATATAAAGAAATAGATGAGATGGTACTAGTTAAAACATTTGTGCTGGAAGAAAAGTGGAAAATGTCAAAGAGATCCACAAGCAGCAGAAATGGAATCCGTATGCCTGACCTCCCCCTGTTTTAGACCAGACAGCATTCCTTAAACATATGATTGCCTGGGCTCAAGAAAACAGCCTTGCCCCTATGTCAAAAAGCATGATGCACAGTTTTCACAGGTAAAACAGGCCTCTTGCAATTCCCTGCATCTACCTGTGCCCAGGTAGGTATCAGGATAGGCTGTGCATGTAATCCTAGAAGGTACACTGAACTGAATAGTGGACCCAGACCTCAAAAACCCTCCCATGGGAAGGCTTTAAATGGAGGGTGATGGTTAAATTCCACAGGTTCTGACTGCTTTGCTTTGGACCTCAATTTTTGTCTGTGAATTACTGACTTTGTAACTGCTTGAAGTGGTACTTGGACTGGAATGCTGCTGGCAGGAATATGTTTTTTTGTCACAGGTACCTGGTAAACACAAACAAATCTTACTTTGACCCACTCCATGTAGCTGGAATCTCAACATGAAGCTATAATCAGGGTCACCAGTTTCCTACTGTCAGTGTGACGGATGAAGTGGTTCTTTCTATTCTTTTTGATACTTGGAGAACCAAATGCATTTTAACAGTGGCTGCAAAATAATAAACTGTGGGGAGAGGTACCTTCCTGTGCTTCAGTGGGGATCTGAGATGATGCAGATTTGGAGCTGCCTTTGCTCTTTTTACTGATCTGGCTGTTGATGGAGTGATGTGACTGGAGCTTCCGATGAGGCTTCTGGGAGCTTGACAGAGAGCTGAGTTCAGAACATAGAACACCATTCCCAGCCTCGCCATTAGAACTGCCAAGGTCACCATTTTGTAGAAGAGGGGTATACGCTGTAGTTGGATGCGTCTGGACAATTACTCGGCTCTGGGGCTGGCCTGTTGGGGACAGAGAGAAGCAAACTGAGTGCAATTGCGACACAACACATCTAGGACATTATACTTAAGATGAGCGGAAACTTTGCCAGACAAAATGTGAAACTCCTTTATGTTTGTTCCTTTGAGAACCAGAGATTTACAACCATTTCTCACTTCACAGTTTGTTTAACCCATCACCCCTCTCCATTTTTATGAAGCATATTTCAGAACGTTATCTGTTCCTCATCCAGGCACATAATGTGTGTCCTAGGCTCTGTAGCCAAGCACATCTGCTGCCCCCTCCACCTCCAAACTGGGTTTTGCGACTTAAAAATTAAAGTTGCCCAGTGTTTTGTGTTAGTGTTTGCACAAGCTATGGCATAGAAATGGCTCAGAAAGCTAGCTAGGAAAAGACAGTAGCTGGTCCAACAACACATTTTGCTCCCAAGCCAGAACAGAAGCAAGCTGTGTGCGTGCTTCTGTAGATGAGATTTGTTCACCACTAAACAGAAGATCAGTGTTGATCAACTGCAAGGCAGAAACAAAATGTATGCAAAGAACCAGCACCCACCATGTCCAAATTAGTGACCTATGCCTGCATTTCTTGAATCAAGATCCAATGACTCTGGTAGTCTGCACGTTTTTTCCTTTGTAAGGACAGAGGGCAAGACCTTCTAATACCCATCCAGCTAACATTAAAAGGAGCTCTCTCAGGGCTGAATCACATGATAGATTTTTAAACAAGCTGGATGTGGGTAATTCGGCTACTCCTGGTAGCTGCATGGAATATTATTTTTTTTAAGCCCATAGAAGGCTGATTCTGCTCAGGACCAGTGAGGCGTTGGGGGCGGCCTGGGCCAGCGGGGGAAGGGTAGGCTTGGGTCCAGGTTCTCCTGAGCCATTGTGGGAGTGTCAGAGCCTGCCCCTGGTGGGTCAGATCTAAGCCCTGACACCAGAAATAAAGACAGGAATGCATGGTAACAGTGCGTGCCCTTGTAGACATTCATACATTCCCAATAACTAAGAAGCATAACAAGCTATGACTTCAGAAATCAGAATATTTTCACCAAACTGTGCGATCTGAACTGAGGTGGGAACATGGTTAGTTGTCTGTCCATTCCTGACAACACAAACACAGTAGCACATGTAGTTAGGGTTGCCAGCTCTGGGTTGGGAAATACCTGGAGATTTTTGGGAGTGGAGCCTGGGGAGGGCAGGGTTTGAGGAGGAGAGGGACCTCAGCAGGGTACAATGCCACAGAATCCATGCTTCAGAGCAGCCATTTTCTCCAGGGCAACTGATGTTGGTCATCTGGAGATCGACTGAAGATGCATGAAGACAGAAGCCATTTTGTAGCTTATAGTTTATCAGCATCCCTAGAATTTCTGCTCAGAAATATACAGGATTTAAGTCCTCATGATTAGAAAGAGAAGTAGAATACACAACAATAAAGAGATTGTTTCAGAACTGGGACATATTTAGCTGATCGTCTACCTTACATGTTTTAAAATTAAACCTATTTGCATATTGCCAACATTTTATTAAATACATCTCTTTGAAATGAAGTCTAAGGCTGCTTCCACACAGCAAGTATTTTCTGTGTAGTTCTCACTGCTGCTGCAAGTGCAACGGCAATGGTGTGTCCACACAGCAATCCCCTCTGTATTTTCTTTGCCTTCCCTCCCTGCATCTACCACCACCACCCCACTCCCCGGAACGCTAAAGGGCTTTGGGGGCATTTTAAAAAAATCAGTCATTGCTAGCTTGCTGTAGCCAATGTAGTGTAGTGGTTAGAATGTCTGACTAGGATCTGGGAGACCCATGTTTGAATCCCTACTCTACCATGGAAGCTTGATGGGTGACCTTGGGGCAGTTACACACTTTGTGCCTAATCCACCTCTCACAGAGCTGTTGTGAGGATAAAATGGAGGAGAGAAGAATGATATAAGCTGGTTTGCATCTCCATATTTTATTCCTTATTACAATAACACCAGAACAAGGATTAATTAGGTCCTTAACTCTCAGGCCCACAGGTTAAAACTTGCTCATATCAATTAAAATTGACCCTCTCTGATCTACTTAAAGTTTAACTGACCAATCTACCAACTAAATCAAACTGTACTTTTAATTGTCTGAACTTGGGTTCTTTTCCTACATGGATACCAGATGCATGTATGAAAAATCATATCTTTTGCATGTGCATACAGTAAAAAGCCACACGGATACTGATTTAAATCTTTATACCCCACCTTACCCCCTTAGACTTAAGGTGATGGATGATGCAACAAGTTGCAAGGGCATGAAGCAACATAACAATCCATTAAAATATGAAAAACTCACAGATCAAAACCCCCACACACAGGTAAAAAAATGCACCCACATCTGCTGAAACAGGTAACTCTCCACAAGATGCCTTCTGAAACAACACTGTGCACTAAGTGAAGGTCCCCTCTGCACCTGCTCTGGTAGGCCATTCCAGAGGACTGGACATACCACAGAAAAGGCCTATCACTTAACTGTTGTGTTACAGACAATCCTAAAAGGGGGCAACAAAAACAGAAGGCTCTCTGAAGGATGTAGCTGACATATGAGCGTACACAGGGAGATGCAGTTCAATAAGCATGAGGACCCTAGGCCATGAAGGGCTTTAAAGATAATAACCACCACTTTGAATGGGACCTGGAGGCAAACAGGCAACCAGTGCAGTTGAGGTGGCACTGAAGTCATAAGTTCCAAGTAGCTGACCCCAGGAAGTAGTCTTGCTGCCCCATTCTGTACCAGCTGAAGCTTCCCAGGTATCTCCGAACACAGCTCCATGCAAAGCACATTACAGTAGCCCAATCTGTGGGTTAACGATAGTGTGGATCAGTGTGGCTAGGCTGGCAGAGTCTAAATAAGGGACCAGCGTAGGAGCTAGTTGTAATTAAAATGCAGGATTCCTACCAGCAGGGCCGATTTCTATACGGCCACGATTGCATCTGCTAGCTCATGCCCGGCCCAATTATTTAGTACAATTTGGTCTTTGACAGCTCTGCCACAGGGCAGACAAAATGCTAGGGAATTGGATATCAGCTGTGAGGCATTCGCGAGCTATTTTGCAGATAAAGTCTCGGTGCTCCGCCGCAATCTCCCCACCACAATTGAAACAGTGAGCGAACTTGAGGCCCCTTGCACGTCTTTGGTGCCGGGTTTAGAGTGTTTTGACCAACTCAGTCTGGAGGAAGTTGACAGATTGCTCGTATCTGTGTGTCCAACCACATGCGACCTTGATCCGTGCCCCTCTTGGCTCATTAAAGTGGGCCGTGAGGGGTATCGAGGTGCCCTGTGGGAGATTATTAACATGTCCCTCGCAGAGGGACAGTTCCCTGGGGCACTCAAGGAAGCGATGGTCTGCCCTCTCTTGAAAAAGCCATCTTTAGACCTGACCGAATTGGCTAACTATCAGCCGGTGTCTAATTTGTCCTATTTGGACAAGCTCATTGAGAGGGCGGTGGCGTTACAGCTACAGAGCTTTCTGGAGGACGCTTCTGTCCTCGATCCCTACCAGTCCGGCTTTCGCCCAGGTCACAGGACGGAGACGGTGTTGGTCGCCTTGACTGACGATCTCTGTAGGCATCTGGATCGGGGCGGTGTGGCAGCACTGATGTGGTCGACACGGTCGACCACCAGCTGCTGACCCACCGCCTCACTGACACGGGGATTCAGGGGCTTGCCCTCCAATGGTTTGCCTCTTTTCTCCAAGGTCGGGGACAAAGGGTGGCGATAGGGGACCAGCAGTTCCAGAGACATCCCCTTGAGTGTGGAGTGCCTCAGGGGACTGTGTTGTCCCTGATGTTGTTTAACATCTACATGTGCCCCCTTGCCCAGATTGCCCAGAGTTGTGGGCTTGGGTGTCATCAATATGCCGATGACACCCAACTCTATCTGATGCTAGACAGCCGGTCGGACTCTGCCCCGGATGACCTACATCGGGCATTACAGGCTGTGGCTGGATGGCTCAGACTGAGCCGGTTGAAACTAAACCCGGCAACGGTGATCCATGTGACGGTTACCTCAAGGTTAGACTACTGTAACGCTCTCTACATGGGGCTGCCTTTGTCGCAAATCCGGAGGCTGCAGCTAGTGCATGTCAGCGAGCTGCCATTTCTCTGCTGGGACATCTCACGTCCCTTCCTTTCCCCCCCCCTGTTTTGCTCTTGTATTTTTCCTCCTCTTAGGCAACTGCTGTAACCAAGGTCGCCAGCTGGTGAGAAGTGGGAGTTATGTCTTCGCACTCATGCTTGTTTAGACTTACCCGTGTGAAATGAACTTGTGTTTAGAGAAACGGGCGTTACTTTCTCATGTACCTTCGCGCCCTTTCTAATCTCCCCGTATCCAGCGGGAAGTGGGACCATTGGTCCAAACCTTGTTCAAAATTCCTTTATTATACCTGTACTGCTGACTAACGTCATTCCAATCAATTCCTGTGTGTTTGTGATCAACCATGTCTTTGAAATAAATCTTGCTTTACTTTTGAACGTGGATCTATTCTCATGCTTGGGGGATCTAACAGTGCAGAATGCTGCAGCCAGGTTGTTGATGGGTCTCTCAAGGAGGGACCACATTCTTTCTAGCTTTCTAGATGACGCGTCCGTCCTTCATCCATTCCAGTCTGGCTTTCGCCCGGGGTATGGGACGGAGACTGTGTTGGTTGCCCTGACTGACGACCTCCATAGACATCTGGATCAAGGCGATGTGGTGGCGCTGTTGTTGTTAGATCTGTCGGCCGCAATTGATACGGTCGACCACCAGCTGCTGGTCCACCGCCTTGCCGACGTGGGGATCCAGGGGCTCGCCCTTCAATGGCTTGCCTCTTTTCTCCAAGGTCGGGGACA